TTGTCACACCCCCAAATCGGAACGACGGAAACGTTCGGGGGCGGAGGACGTCATGTATAGTATCACAACAATTGAATGATAGTAATCAAAGCAACAACAACCATTGTATTAATAGTATAATGTTTACATTACATTCGAATCATACACGATTGACTCCAAAAGTAATTGACAAGTAAAGACTCGAAGTTACTATGCTCCATCTTCTTGAATCCGGTGCGTGTACCTGTCTACTAGTGTCCTGAGAATACAAGTAGGTTTTGAAAGAGTATCAACATAAAGTTGGTGAGTTCATAAGCGTTTTGTTTGAGAAAACAGGTTCTTTGTTCTTTCAAAAAGTGCGTTGTGTTTCTCCAGAAAACCTTATATTTTCTGATGTAATGAATGCTAAATAAAAATGATTCTTACTAGTTCCTCCTGCAAGTACTTAGTGTATACAAATCATATACAATCCAGATCGAATAAACAATCGATTGTGTGGTTCTGCCCCAAGCCCACAACCAAACAAGGAACAGGAAATGAGTCGGAGGCCACACATTCCACTGGTTGTCGGATCCTTATGTACATAATCCTGAAGTATTCACTAGATACTTACAAAGTTAACTGTATTGGTCCTTTGAAATCTATTGATGGTGTTCCTCAAGAAAATCCAATATTTTCTTATTGAAAGCATGATTAAACCCATTCCTTCTATAACTACTTAGTTCATTCTAGTTATGTATACACCAATATCGAACAGACAGTTAATTATGTGGATCTGCCCTAAACCCACAACCAAACAAGGAACAGGGAATGAGGCGGAAACCACACATTCCACAGTCTATCGGATATTCTTCATACGTAACCCTGATGCATAAACTAAGGAATTATAGAATTAATAATGAATATTCGTTAGTTGAATAATAACCCAGTTATTTGTAAAGCATTGATGTTTATCTTGGAAAATCCTATATTTTCCCTAAGTGTAAGTTATTGAATCATCTGTTCCAATCCAAAGTGTACAAGTATCTACCATACTTATGTTGTTTAAGTATTGTTCTGTTTTAAAAACCCTGGTTACCACCAATAATATGTAGTATGTTCTGTAAGCTAGAAGTGTTGTTAATACCCTCCTGTGATCACTTAGTACATACGAGTTATAGAAATCTAGATCGAACAGACAATCGATTGGGTGATTCTGCCCTAAGCCCACAACCAAACAAGGAACAAGGAATGAGGCGGAGATCACACATTCCACCGCATGTCGGATGTTAATTTCATATTACCCTAATGTATATACTAAGTCATCGCATAGTTACTAACCATGTTGACTGTTTGTTAGGTATATTATTACGTAAACGAGTGGTTGTTTCCCCTGTGAGTTCTTATAACCATACTATGGACGATAAACATTACGACATACTTCGGACGTCGCGAACTGAATGACGTTTGTCACCCTAGGTTGACTGTAGCTAATAGTCAGGGTGCGGGATTTTCACTCCCGTATAGATCTATACACAAACTCACGCTCTCCCTCCAGGAGACTCTGGTTACAAAGGGTAGACTTCCTAGAAGACGTGTCTCACACTGTAGTTCTCTCAACGAATCCACGAATAGTACTATAAAAACCTCCTTTTGTTATTAACATGAATCCTTATAAAATAGTACCTTTTATTTCATAATTCATAAGTTTGTTTCCTTGTTTGAAAATTGTGCTTGTAACGTTTTGTATCTTAACATGTTTTGTAAAACTGATTTCAAGTCTAGTAGCAACAATGTTTATCGTGTTTAGTAAGTTCTACGTTCAACGTGTGCTAATGATAGAAAAATATAATAAACCAAATTATATTTTTAAACACAAGGTTACTTGTGCTTTTACTTGTATTCCCCCCCCCCCCCCCCCTTAAAACATTAGAAAGCTCAGAAAATATAGGGGTATGAACTCACCTGATTGTGAATGACTTGGATGAATGACAAAAGTAGGATGCTTGGTATGCTAAGTGAAGTCCCGAGCACAATACGGTCCTATTAAGCACATATTAACATGTATAGGCCTAAAATTAGTGTCTAAAACCACTAATGATCATAGGAAACACCCTTAGGATGTGGGAAACACTTGCAATGAAGTGTTAGAACCAAGAATGAGGGATGAAAAGGAGTTCACGACCAAACCACCATGGGTTCACGGCCCAAGATGTGTTCACGGCCCATGACCACATGAAGGATTCACTGCCCAAGATGTGTTTACGGCCCAAGAACGCATGAACATTTGATGGGTTTACGACCCATCTATGAAGGGTTCACGGCCGTGATCTCTTCAAGTTCATAAAGATGGTGATGAAAGTGATGAATCAATGGATGAATACAAAGCTCTTTACATGAATAAGATGATTAACAAGTGAAGAGGGATGAATTACTTACGTTTATGGGGTGAAAAGAGAGCTTTTGTTCGATGATTCTTGAGGAGTCTTCGGCCAAGGAGGGAAGAAATGAGGAAAAATGAAGGAGAAACATATATATGGGGAGGGGTTCACAACCCAACATGGGTTCATGGCCGTGAACCTAGTTTGCGGTCGTGAACATCCCTAGATGATATTTCCGGCTCGAATGCATTCCTCTAATCCCGAGCTAACACTTCTCAACATTAAATCCTTAAGTGTATTAGGCTTAGAGACTCTCAAACCGACCCTAATCACAGTAAAACTGAAGCTGAAACAAGTCTGACTTTCTATTGATTGTGTTGACTTACAGATAGAGATTTCGGGTTGTCTAGTGGAGCGGTGAGGGCACCTGCTCCAACTATGCTAAGGATTACTGATGGTCGTGAGGGCAGGGCGGAGGCTCAAGTGGCGAGGAACCGAGCATTTCAGTTACCGGCTGATGAGACCCGAGTTCCATTAGATGCAGTTGTAGGTATGTATCGTATTCGCTTCCTTCCTGGTTTTAATATTTATGCTTAAAATCATGTGGTTGTGTGTGTAAGACGTTATGTTCAGTATAGTTAATTCTCCACCTAAGGATCGTATTTTATTTATGACTATATGGTTATTATATTTCAAAGAATTTTCATATGCCACTTTGCATACCGAGAGCCATGTTTAGAGGGTATTTAGTTGAACCGATTTCAGGCTTCGATGTGGGATACGTCGGCCAACGACAAAGTAAGCCTCAATTGGAGGAAGGCTAAGTGTTCTGCTTGAAGGAATCAACAACTGTATTGATTTTGATGGTTTCAACGTGATGGGTCGAATGAAGTTGCAGTGTAAATTCATTAGTTTTTTGGAATTCAAGATGGTTAAGATCTTTCATGTTTGAAAGGATTGGGGAAACTGGTCAGAACGCGGGTGCAGGGTGAGTTGCTGTCAAATTCATGCTTTCATGGTTGTGCGTGTGGTCCTTGCGTCGGAAGCTTCTAGGAAAGGATCTCGTTGTAGCGGGTTGTCCCTTCGGGGACAACGAAATAGAGTTAAGAGTTGCGTGTGTCGCTCCGGTTGGAGGTTGGTTAGCTCGTTGAACCGATTGTTGTCTTCAGTAAGGGAAGGGTTGTCGCTGAGTTATCAACCAACTTCTAGGTGTGGGTGGTACCTTTTTGCATGGGTTTGTTCAGCTGTCAAGATTGTTCGAGGGTGTTCAAGTTGTATCAGTTGTCGATGCTTTGGGTATGTTGATCTTTTGGCAGGTATGGATCGATGGACATTTGGACTTCTGGTTAGGGTGTAAGAGCAACGTTACTCATTTTTCAGGAAGTATTGCTTGATAGGTTGTGCTCATGAATAATTTGTTCGGTTATTTAAAATTGGGATATTATTTTGGGTTGAGAAAGTTAATGGTTTGGGTTGCTCATTGAAATGGGTTGTGATCACAAGTTGGAATGAACTCACCTCACAGTCTAGAAGATAACAATATTGCTCACAGATGCAATAACCAACACTACAGGTCACCTATACAACAAAAAAAATACTAAATCTCAAACTACAACCTAAAACCCTCAAATTGACCTAAAGTCAAACTAGGTCAACAAGTCAACGATCAAAGTCAAAGTCAATAGTCAAAGGTCACTCAGCCGATTGCCACGTCGTGACCACCCTTTGGTCACGTCATGGCAGCGTGAGGCCAAAATAATCGGGAAGCTGACCGTCGTCACGTCGTGACAACCAACTCATCACGTCGTGAGGATCACTCTGGACAACTTAATGCTTTAAGCTCTTAATCCTTCAAGCCAAGCAACCAAACTTTCCAGAAGGCTTTCTCCATCTCAAAATACCATAAAAATCATTGTTTTTTAGACATTCATGTCCAATGCATGACAACCAATGAGATGCACGTGCCTCCCCGGGCATCGTCACATTGTGATACACATATGCTCGCCTCATGAGCAAGGTTTTGATCCTTTAAGACTTAATTGATAACTCAGAAGTGATGGTTACATGAAAATGGGTGTTACAATTCATAAATAAATACATATAAGTATAAAAAAATCGACACATACCTACAAAAACTGAATCTCTTCATTGCTATAAGATGACATTGTTTGAGTTTGATGTTGTCCGAAATAAAACTGAGTTTGAAATGTTATATGTGAGACCACATTACCGGGCCATATCATTTTACCCATTAACCCATTTTGAAATTCAGATCCAAAATGATATTGAGTGGTATTTTTCAAAAAAAAAAAAGTTAATGGTTATTTTTCTAAAAACACTCGGTAAATTACTTAATTTTCCTTTTTCTTTTACTTTATAAATAACATCTCCTATGTACCAATAAGATATTCCATAAACATCTTTGACCGTACGGAACGAAACATTGGGAAACCAACAAACAAAACCAAGCCCAAGAAACACCCGAACGGGCCGTTACAGCCCAAAACCAAAATGTACAAGTGGCAAAGTGACACGTCTTAGTACCTGGCATATCTGTACATGACGAACACGTGGCATCTGTACTTTGTCCGTTTCCACCAACTAAACTCCGTCTTAGATAAACGAGAGCATTTTGCTTTAATTACTTTTAACCCCCCCTCTCTCTCTCTCTCTCTCTCTCTCTCTCTCTTCGATACTCTCTCTACAACACAGAAAACCTTACTTGTCAGAGACACCGGAAATGACTGTCGATGAGTGGCCGGAGTGGCTTCCAGCTGACTGGATGATACAAATCAGAAAGATCGATGACCGGAAAGTCAAGGTACTTAAAAATTCTCTCTCTTCCACTCGACTTCCCTCTACTTAGGGTTTTTTTCTCGCTCTTCAGTTTCTACAGATTTTGCGTTTTTTGTGTAGATTTTTGGTTTAATTTTGAATGTAGAGCTACAAACGTACCTGCATGTGAATTGTGATGGATTATTTTTTGCGTTACTAAGTTTCGTTACTCGGAGGTCGATCGTTTTTATTTCGACCAGATGTTGCTCTCTCCTTAGACGCAGTTTGGTTTTTTTTATGCTAAATCTAGCTATTTTGAAGAAATTTGACAGCAATGTTGATTTATGAGAGGGTTTTTTGATACACCCCAGAGTTAAAGAGTTATTTGTTTTATTTAATAGACTATTGTTGCTGTTGCAGTGTTACATTGATCCTGCAGGACGCAAATTCTATTCGAAGCCCCAAGTGGATCGGCATTTTAGGACCCTCGAAAACAGGGCGGACAACGAGAAGACTGTAATGATTCCTTCTGTCAGGCTTCGCTTTGATTTTCTTTTTCCCTCTTAACTCCTTGTATTCTTACAGTCCTGTTTTTTTTTAGAACAATGTCGATGGCCAAACTTTAGACTTATCTCTAGAGCCAGATGAAGATGTTCCCCATACAAATGAAGAACCTGAACCTGAACCTGAATCAACACCCAAAGGACAGTCTACTAGACAGAGGAGACCTGGAAGTAGCAGCAAGAATTACAAGGTACTAAAACAAAGTCTTTAGTCTTTACCTATTCATATCACTGCTTGAAATAACACCTGGTGATACAGGATACTGAAGAGCTTTTCCCTCGATATGGATCTTCCTCTGTGTCTGATTCACGTGGAAGAAAACATGGAGATACTGATTGGCTACCTGATGGATGGGCTGTGGAAGTGAAGAGTAAAAAGTCTGGACAAAAATATAAGGTAAATGGAATAGATTTGAGTAGAATAACTATGACAATGCTTACTATTTTATATTCTTATCTAATATCTATCAGTTTCCTGACCACATGTTGTTTAACAATCTTTTTGTTGTTCTGCTATTGTAGATTTACCTTGATCCCAAGGGAAAAAAATTCTTTTCAAAGCCTCAGGTTTTGAGTTATCTTAGCGGTACACTCAGCAGTCCAGCTGGACAGAAAAAAGTCTGCATCAACCCAACTTTGATATTCTTTTTGTCATTTATTCTTGAAATTATAACATTTTAACTTTTTAGGGATATAAAACCCTTACTCAACCTGAGAAGTCCCAGATTTCTGAAGCCAAGAACAATGAAACCAGAGAGATTACAGAAAGCGCCCGAATGGCCCCTGATTATGAAGTTTGTTCCACTTTAACCCCCCAAGATTTCAAATACTACATTTGTCGAATTTATATTAGACATCTGACTTTTTGACGAATATCTAGGTTATCTCAAGTACTCCAGCAGATGGGTTACCCCCAGGATGGATAAAAGAAATCAGAGTGAGAAATGGATCATCTGGGAAGAAAAGAGATCCGGTATTCAAATTTTCTTATTTTTTTTTTCCTTATCCAAAAACTCATTAAACTTTTATAATTAATTAATTAATTAATTAATTATCTATGCAGTACTACCTAGACCCTTTGAGTGGCTATGTATTTTTCTCAAAATTGGATGCTTTGAGGTATCTGGATACTGGAGATGTAAAGAAATGTGCCATTAAACCACTAAGAAGGGATATGAATCATGAACTCAATGTAAGTCATGTTCAGTTAATGACAATTCTTGACATAACGCTACTAACTTTTTTTTTTTTTTTTCAGCAAGCTGCTGATGATGAGCCTGAAGCAGAATTGGCTTCACCAACTGAACCAACCAAAGAAACCGAAACTCCTAAAGAGTTAGAAAATGGTGGTGTTACAGAGTCAAAACCAGAAGGAACTGGTACAGAAAAGGTAAATTACAAGTTAATTGTATCATTTAATCTTAAATCAATGGATTAACTGCAGGAAATGACAATCTGCTTTATTCTTTTTACCAATATATGCAGTATACTTATTATTTTACCTGTAATAGCAATTCTTGACCCATAATAGCAATGCACTCATGGTGAAAAAAACTACAAGTATGTTGCTATTATGGATAAAAAATAAAGTACATTGCTTTTATAAAGAAATGTAAAGTATCATTGCCCATATTGGTAAAGAGATTAAAGTATGTTGCTATTCCTTGTGATTTACACTAAATTAATCATGGGGTTTGTTTAGAGTTAGTTTTCTTTATAAAAGTTAATAAAAAAATGTGATTTCAGAGAAAAGTTCGGTCTATAACTGGAGATGGATATGTTCCCATGCCTAAATCTGTAACTGGAGATGGACATCTTCCCATGCCTAAACCAGCCCAAAAAGGTGAAGCATGGCTACCTGAAGGATGGGTTGTTGAAATGAAGTCCCGTAATGATAAGAAAATTAAGGTAATTACAAACCATATTTGTTTCTCATTAATAGCAATGTAGTTTGATAGTTTCATTTCCATCTTGATTAACTAACTAGGTGAATGTCTGCTTGTTGCCTAGAACAAAATTATGTGGTTAAAGTTTTGGCAAATACATTTTGAAAATAATTATTTTAGTGACATTAGTTATGAAATAATAATTTCAATATGGTTCTCCATCTGGTATTACTTCTGTCTTTATGATTAGTTAGTTTAAATATGTTATGTTGGAAGTTGAAAATTTAGAGGGTTTCAAATCAATATAATGGAAAAAAAAAAGCTTCTTTTGTATAGTATTATATATAGATTTGAATTAATTTATCCTATATGGTTTATAGTGTTACAAGGAAATTGCAACTGGGAAAAACTTCTATTCAAGACCACAAGTGATGACCTATCTTGGTAATACCAGTGGCATTAGCCCCAACATCAACACCAACAGCAACTCCCAAAAGAGAAAAGTATGCACCAAAACTTTTCTTTTTTCTTATAATAGCAACATACTTTCACTTTGTTTATCTGACGTGTCACATTTTATAAAATTGTAACTCTAGAAGGTACGAAAATCCTACGTGGAGCGTGACTCATCACCGGATTCAGGGTCTGAGGAATTTACACGCCCGAAAAGATCCAAAAAAGATGTATCCGATTACAAAGAAGTCTGTTTCTTTTTCTTTTAGCATATAATGTTAAATATCTTATTTTTCTATTTAATATATATTATATTATATCATTAAGCCGTTAATTTTTTAAATAATTTCTAGACTATCGTAACGACTCCGGCGGAAGGGTTACCGCCAGGGTGGATAAAAGAAATCAGATCTCGGCTATGCGGGACCACCATAAGAAAAGATCCGGTACTATTTTATTATTATTATTATTATTTTTTACTTTTTTATCATCTCTAAAATCTTTTTTCAGCTAGGGAAAATTACAAGAAAATAACCACCAATAATATATATATGCTTTACAAATTACAATTAGACCATAAAAGTTTCAGACATTTTTACAATTGAGCAAAAGGACCAATGGGGGATATCAAAATGTTAAAAAGTGTGTTTATGTCGATATTCAAATAAATGCACTTGTAGTTTATGCTTTAAAAGTTGTAATGATTATTTGATGTATGCAGTATTACACGGATCCTGTGAGTGGCTACATCTTTCGTTCAAAATTGGATGCTTTGCGGTATTTGGACACCGGGGATATAAATTTATGTGCTATTAGACCAAGGAAAAAGGATGCTGATGGAAATGAAGTTGTAAGCCCTTCAACTATTGCCAAAATACAAGTTTCACCCTTCAACACTTGTTTTACCTTGTTTTATTTATTTATTTATTCAACAGGCCATCCCTGATACTACACCAAAACCACCCAAACTTCAGAAACAACTCTCTGAAGGTGAGCCATGGATGAACATTGATTGTTTCAATACTGTGTTTGGTGAAGGCTAAAATGGTCATTTACTCCTATGAAGACAGTTTATTCTGTCTAAAAATGAAACAGTCTTTATGTATAAAATATTTACTCCAGGTCCAGGCAGACATAATCTAGCCATTTCAACACTACTTTATATTTATATATTGTTTTGTCATTTGTGAAAAAGACGAGAATGCCCTTCTTGTCCTAATTTCCGAAAATAAATAAACATGGATGCTAATGACTTGTAATGTTGCTGTTTATATTGTTTTATAGGGGGATCTGATATGGAAGGTATTGACATGGACAAAGAAGCTGACAACTCGGAGACTGATCGCAAGAATACCGAAAATACCCCTGGGTCTACTCCCATAAGGAGAGGCACACGTGAGAGGGCTTCAAAGAGCAAGCCCTCTGCTGCTGCCCCTTTGCCTGCTCGATCTTCAACACGGCTAAAAGGGGTGAAGCCACATACTAAAACCGACACGTCATTGGATGGAAACGATAACGGGGCAGGGGTAGATGTGGAAAAACAAGGTAATGAAGAGCAACTTGACTACCAACTTGAGGACGATTCTAGTTGGACCGATCAGTTTGACTTTGCAGTGAAGACACTTGTGGGTGAATTTCCACCCGATGAAAATGGCGGTGTGGGGAATGGAAGTGCTGCAAAGGTCAACTGAGGAGCCGTGGGTTTGTCTTTGTCAGGGTCGAAAAGGTAATTTGACTTTTTAAATTATTATCCATATTTGAACTTTGACTTATGGATGGATCATGGATGTGTAGTTTAAGTTTAACTTAAGTAGTAGTTTGTTGTTGGGTTTGTGAAAATTGGTATCTCTTGTGAAAAATAATAAACTAGACTTGAAAGAAGCATAGCTGTGAATTTATAAGCTTTTTAAGATAAGATCCTTTTGCATAGACAAAGAGATTGAAAGCCCAAGACAAAAAGTTGCAATTTTTGTCAGTTTTAGTTTTAGTCGCAGTCACAATAAATGAGGCTTAAAAGTAGTGTTTTTTTTTTTGAGCCATGATTACTGTTTATAGATTAGTGTAGTAATTTTTAGGGTTTTATACATTTATAGCAAATACTTTAGATGAAGTCTCGCTTTGCTTTGTATATTGATATTGATCAAATCTGAAGTATATGTCATTTTTTATTCTGGATAAAATCATCAAAGTGCATTCCCCAAAATGGATAAAAGTTTAAAAATGCATTGCTTAAAGGACAGCAGGTGGAGCATCCTTTGGTAAATCATATAATTTTTTGTATGTAATTTTGCATTTAACTACTAGGATTTCCTGTTATATAAATACAATCATCGCCATAGAATATTTGTTAATTTCAATTCCTATTTTACTAATATAAACTCAGTGATTCTAAATTCTAATATTGATTTATTAGGATAAATGTTAATTACATAACAAATTTCTTATTTTTAAGACAAAACTACAAGAATGATCATTGTGGTATGTCGAAAAATGCCACTTTGGTCCAAAAAGGTTTGGACTTGCACCACCGGTCCAAACTTTTCATTTTGTTGCGATTTTGGTCCAATTTGTTTTGAATATTTTTCAAATGACAAAACCCCTGCTACTCAATTTCATTTCATTACAAAAAAAAAAAATTTAAAAAGAAAAAAGAAAACTGATATACTACCCCCCTTTTTTTCTTCGGTCTCCCTCTCTTTCTTTTACAACAAAATCGAACACTTCTCAAACGACCTCTCAATCAGAATGTCACCCTCTCGCCGGAAGCCAACATCTCGTCGGAAACGATGACCTTGCCATAACACTTTCCACTCAGGCAAATCTTAACTTTGACGACTCTCTCTCTCCTCCTCCCGTTTCTTCTTCTTCTCTGCAGCCATCAAGCTTCCAAAATCAAAACTGAAACCCCTTTTATTCTTCTTGTTCCAGCTCTGATTATGATGATATAGGGGATCAGGTGGAATTATCGTTGCCTGATAGAGGTCTTCGAGTTGTGTTTCTCCAGTCAAATCCAAGCCTTTGCAAACCCTGGTGTTCGTAGGAATGACAGCGGAGATTGATTGCTAGGGTTTTCGATTTCAGCAATGACGGCGCTGGGTAGGTGTTGTAGATCCGTAAGGAGGATGACGACGAAGCTAGGGTTGGGATTTCAAGATTTGACCACCTCTGTCAGCTTCGATGATGTTAGGGTTAGGATTAAGGTTAGGAGCGACGTCGTCTCTCTACTTCTCCGACGCTGGTGATGGTGGTATTTGTTTATATGCACACGATGGTTATCCGAAAAAGGGTTTTTGACTCCCTCACCAGCTCCATTTCTCACTCCCTCTCTTTATCTTCATCTGTAATATCCATCGAACCCGTAAAACACCATCCAAAATCTATCATTGTTGTAGTTTGGTCGAAGATATGTGAAAGCGACGAGCTAATGGGGGAGATGATGATCGGTGGTGGTGGTGGTGATGTTTAGCAGAGGGATAAAAGATGAACCAGGGGAGAGTGATTATACAATTTTTTTTTCTTTTTTTAGTTATTTTAATATAAATAAAAGAAAATGAATATACCCAGGGGTAATTTCGTCATTTTAAAATTATCCAAAATAAATTGGACCAAACTCGCAACAAAATGAAAAGTTTGGACCAATGGTGCAAGTCCAAACCTTTTTGGACCAAAGTGGCAATTATTGACATACCAGAGGAACTATTCTTGCAGTTTTGTCTATTTTTAATATCATATACAATATTAAATTATGATTTTGAAATTATATATATCAATAATAAAGTTATAAGCATTATAAAATTATAAATGGTTTTGGAGTTGGATAATGAAATCTGATTATTGTATGTAGGGGTGGAAGCGAGCCGAGTCGAGCCGAAAACTGCCGAGCTCGGCTCGACTAAAATACTCGAGCTTGAAACTTACCTCGAGCTTAAATTTGAAGCTTAGGCTCGGCTTGTGAAATACTCAATACTCTCTGAGCTCGACTCGGCTCGACTAAAATTAAAAAAAAAATCATCAAATTTGAATAAAAAGAAGGGTTATTTCCATAAAAGACCTTATATTTTGATTTTTTTTCTTTTTAGATCTAAAACTTTTTTCTTTTCCGAAAAAGACCCAACTTTTACATGTTACTTGTTATTTTAGACCCTAACAGGTCACCAAAAGGGAAATTGAGTATTTTTATTTCATAAAAGACCCTATATTTTGTATTTTTTTTTCCAGTTTAGACCTAAAATGTTTTTTATTTCAAGACGAGTTGTATAAAAAAACATGATTATATCCTTTTAGTTTAAACATAGACATCGATTTAAACAATGTAATTATTATGCTTACATTTATTTATGATTGACAATTTCTTTGTCCACGTATATTTTAAAAAAAAAAGTAGTTGTAAAAGTTATTTCTTCACTACACCAAGTTCATGTAGCTTAATTTCGTCAGGATATAAAAAACATAATTATATTCTTTTAGTTTAAATAATAGACAACGATTTAACTTTTGCATCTTTTGGCATCGTATTGATTTACGCATGAAACATTTTTTTTAAACCATTACACATACAACGATTTAACTTTTGCATTAATTTATGCTCAAATGGTTTCATTCCCATAATATAGCTTTATATATTTATATGTGATGATAACATTTTTTAAGAATGTCTTAAACTTGAATCTGATATATCTAAACAAAACTATTACGAATGTTTAGGATTAATATTTTTATGTATTAAAGAGTTTGTTAACTGTTCTAAAAAAATTGATTAAAAAATTCGACCAAAAAAATAATATAGAAAAGTGAGAGAAGGAAATATGTCCAAAGTCACGAAATTAGTATAATAGACAAACTAAAAAAATTTATTTTGTATACAGTTTGTTAAATTACGTGGTATCTTTTTTTTTCTACAAATAAAAAAAGTTGTTATTATGCTAAAAGATTCTTCCTACCCATGTATTATCCATGTTACCAAAAAATATCAAATTAACATCAAACTTTTTATTAGCGGTAATAATAACATTTTTTATAAACAATATATCAGGTTTAATGATATAATATATATCCAAGATAAAGTTTAATTATATCTTTTACACAATAAAATTTTGCAATTCTTCTAGGTTATATTCGCTCAAAAGATAATAGATTAGATAACATTTTTTAGTTTATACATGTATATTTTTTTTTGGTGTAGTCAATAAGTACCTTATATATCTGGTCTTGAAGATTATAACCAATTTTAAAGTTGAGTTTATTTTGAAAAAAAAACATTTTAGGTCTGAAATGGAAAAAACTATAAAATATAGGGTCTTTTATGAAAAAAATACCTAATTTACCTGTTGGTAACCTGCTAGGGTCTGAAATAACAATTAACAGGTAAAAGTTGGGTCTTTTTCGAAAAATAAAAAAGTTCTACGTCTAAAAAGAAAAAAAAATCAAAATATAAGGTCTTTTATGGAAATAACCCTAAAAAGAATCCCACATGCTTAGCATTGTTCAAATTAGCAGAAAATACACAATAAACCGTTTAATGTCAATATAACATCAACTGGCTAAAAAATTGAAGTGGCGCCTAAAATGTTAGAAGTATTAAGATGTATATATATATATATAATTTTATAAGTACTCGATTAAATTCACAAGCTTTAGGAACCTAGTATTTTACAACTCAAGCTCGGGCTCGGCTTGATTAGGTACTCGAGTAGCTCGAACTCGAGCTCGACTCGATTAAGTCGAGTCAATCTCGAATATTTTCCGATTCGGTCACTAGTTTCTTACGAGTTGACTCGTCTCATTTACATCCCTAATCGCATGGGTATAACTTGAATGCCATAACAATCCTATACATGTGAAATTCTAAATGTGAATCTAATATGAGGTTCTATAATTATCTACCCAGCCTAAGTTCCACCCTAAAAAATTTCGGATTTAGATATATTTCCATTTCTAGTTGTTCTTTTTGTTTATGTTGGAAACTTTGGGTTTTAATCTAAACTTAATGGACAAAATCTTTTCAGAAAGTTAAATCTATCATTTCGTAAAATACGTATAATTGCGCAACATATCAGTTTCAAGTTTTACAAATTTAAGAGTGTTTTTCTTTTTTTCGTCAAGAACCATTAACAAACCAGTTTTGGTATTTCACAATCGCCCCAAAACAAAATTAATGGTCATTTTATCTAAAAGGCCAAACAAGTAGCCATTTTATTAAAATGTACAATACCCTTTTGGTTATTTTATGATTATTCCTCTAACATCCTTCGTATCATGTAATTAAAAAGAAAATAAACAAAAGACGATACGAGTAAAATTTATTTGAAAAGTATGATTTTCTTTAATTAGAAAATATTTTTTAACGACTTTAGACACATGTGAAATAAGATATTAATTATCCATTTGTGTAATATTTAACTAGTTCAAGCACATGTTGCAGTAGTAGTGCGTTCATTTATGAGCTACCTCACTGAGTTGCAATATACACATGCACGCATAAGAACACATACGTTTTACATGCTAATCAATCATAATAAAGATCAGTTCCATAGTAGATAGAGACTCAAGAATGCATGACATATTGCTTCGACTTTTGTATATATCATGTGAAATAGGGGTATAGATGCAAAATGGAATCATCTCCGACACTAACTTTAGCTATTTGGCTTAGATTTTATTTATTTATTTATTTGTATTTCCGTTTCTAGTG